TATTAATTATAATGATGATAAAAGAATATACAAAGTAAGTGACGCACAATGGAATTGCTCATCACCTGTTGACCGATGCCCAGCCAATTCGCAGGCCGCAGCCCTGGGCAGCTTTCCTCCTGGTTTATATACTGAGCATGATGTCATATGACATGGAATATCCCTTTGGCTAGATGGGTCAGCTGTCCTGGCTGTGTCCCCTTCCAGCTTCTTGTACCACACACCACCACCACCCCCCCCAGCCTGCTCACTGGCAGGGCAGTAAGAGAAGCTAAGAAGTCCTTGTCTTAGTGTAAACACTACTTAGCAGCAACTAAAACATCAGTGTGTTAGCAACACTATTTTCATTCTAAATCCAAAACACAGCACGAGTTGTTTGGAAGAAAATAAGCTCTATCCCAGCCAGAACCACGTCATGCGTAAAGTGTTGACTTCCAGTACCACAGTAGTTACAGTTCTTTCTGAGTTTTGTAATGTGTAACAATACCTCTGTGTTTGAGAAATATGTCTTGATTAATGCATATGTACATCAAAACCTCTTACCCCTGTGGTCTGTTACCTGGACTTGAAGATAGCAAATCAGCAATGCATTTGGCTTGTCTCCCTTCCTGCTCTCTTGTAAGATTCAAAATGTCTGTTGATTTCTCGCCAGCAGAGACACCTGCTTTTAGAGTGCTTCTGTAAGCACAAGAGGTACGTAAGGGACAATGATGCTGCAGTACCTTTTATTCTCTCATCTGAGCAATCAATTCCATACAGAATTCCAAGTCATGGCTTCGTACGTGTTTCAAGTTGATGCTAAAAAACTCTATATTCATTTTAGTTTTCCAGAACTGCAGAAAATCTTCAAAAAACTCAGCCTTCTAATTTTGACCTCACAGACTTTCACAGAGTAACCACCTGGAGAGATCATTAAACCAGAATAATTTATCTCACTGCATGACCTCAGCATAAGCCAATCATTGTTCTCATCCACTGCTTAAAACCTTTGCTTAGTCCTAATGAAACTGATGACCTACCCCATGCTTAAAACATGCACCATTATCTTGCTGAATTAAAACATGTCTTTATGTAGTCTTATTTATGTTAATAAATGGTGGCTCGTTAAAAGTGGTTTTACCGAGCTACCATTTTCAGTGAGTGCAACATCACAGTGATTGTTGTATCAAACACAACAAGAATAAATACCTAAGTTTAGCTGTTCTTTATACATTTTGAGTCTACATGTTAGCACTAAAAACTTTGTTTTCAATGGTCATAAATGATCAGGCTGCAGATGATCACTAGTTGTCTTCTGTACAGAAAGATTGATCTCTGATCAGATCTAGAAAATCTCTATCAAATAAAGTTGCTAAATATGTCTTGTGATACAGTGTTTACTTCCTGTACCCTGATCTGTGCATGCATTTATTTTGGCCTTTTTAAAAGGTGATAGCTGAGTAGGCAAAACAAATTCTCAGCTAAAATGGTACTGCTGAGTCTTAGAACCATTCAGGTTGAGACCCACACCTTCTCAGCTTGTGTCTTCTCTGGATTTATCGTAGCTTAATGAATTCAGTCTGTAGTATGTTCTTGGCACCTTTCCATAGCGGATGCTGCTCAAGCTCTTCCTGTGTAAAGAATCTCTTACATTCCTTATGAGTCACTGTTTGACACACACACGTTCATATACAAATGATATCTCTGTATTGCATTGCACCAGCAGGAAACATGGCTAGCTTTTTTAATTTTTTTTACCCCAAACCTGTACTGGAAAAATAAGTGGTATCCAAAATTCCTTCAAGGCATCCTTCTAAACCTTTATTTACTCCAGCCTCATCAAACTGAACATTTATGTTATTTTCCTTGTAATTGTCACTTAAGAATATAAAAAGCTGTTGCTGGAACCAGTATGCTGCTCATTAACTCAGTTCACTAGGGCATGAATGAGAATCATGTTGGAATTACTACCTTTTATGTGGGTTCCTTTCTTCTGCTTGCTTTCGGTACTTGAGTGCTAAGGGTCAGTTTTCCCTGTCTGGAGTGCTAAGGGTCAGTTTTCCCTGTCTCGTGGGATTATATCAAGTAGCCTGCTTTGGAAAACGGGTACTAGGGAGACTTAGTACAAAAGCAAAATTAGAAAACAAATACAGTTCCTTAATGTTTAAAACTGATCCCTGCAATAAAACAAGGCATTGCTCAGGTGAAGTTGGGTGACATGCTGAATATATGGGGTTGTATTCAAGGTTTTTCAGTTGTAGTAGGGTCATTAAACAATAACAAAAGGTAGTAAGCTCATGAAAAGCCACTAGCTAATGTTATACTGGAGACAGGATTCAGTCACCTAATTTTTGTAGCAAATACTATCATTCTAATGAACAGAAATTACACCTAAGTCAGACCTCTTTCTTGATCTTTAAAAGCTGATGTCACTTTAGTTGAAGTATTCAACTTTTAAAAAGTTCAGCTTACTTGCTTACGTAACTGACCTGTGCTGTGTTCATTTCTTTCCACAAACAGGTGCAACTTAGAGCAGAGGTGTGTAAGGACAGGTAGAACCAGTTTTTCTTTGCTTCAGACTAAAACTTCCAGTGCTTTATACTCTGGAAGCATCCTGAATCCTCTACCAGCGGAGCTCACCTAACACACCACCGTATCAAGTTGAACGTTCTCCTAGTCTTACATGAATGACGAATCGTCTGATGTTTTAAGTGTTGAGGGATTTTTTTCTTTCTCTTTCTGTGTAGAATATTCTGCAGTTGAGATACAGCCCTCAGCCAAAGAGAAAAGGCTGAAATAGAACCTATCTGATGAAATAGCTATACCTCTTTAGTTCATGGTTCTTAAAATATATTTAAATGACCTCCGGTGTTGTGTGAGTAGAAATGTCATGCTCGACTTAGTTTCTCTGTCTTTAAACAAGAAGTGGTGATGTTGATTCATCTCTTAGCAGAAGTTAAACAATGTAAACAAAATGCTCAACTGACTCAAATCAGCAGTTACAGAACACGGTCAGTAGCAGCTATTCTGAGTTGAAGCCTTTGACACAAAGGTTTCTTACAGCTGCAAAGGCAGTCTTCCCTGGTTTTGTAGCTGAGGAGTTTCATGTACGGCACTTTCAGTGAAGTGAAAGTACATGGTTGTTAGCGAGACAGTAGATGTTTTTTTAAGAATTAGGTGTTGGCTGTATTAGTGTTTACAGAAATTTTCTAGCTCTTTCACTAACCATAGTTGTTCATTTAAAATGCTAATCAGTCTGGCATACCAAAAATCAGTCTGTGGAAGTTGGACTTAATTTGTGCAACTCTTCAATCTTGAATCTTATGTAAGTATAAAAAAAAAAAACCAACAAAACACCAAACAATTTGGGGGATCTTGTTTAATTCTAGGAGGATGAGTGTTGGTGAAAGTTGCGTCTTGTATCAGCTGGAGTATTCATTGGGGCAAAACTCGGAGAGCACAACTGAAAAAAAGTGAAAACAGTCTGCGTAGGTCAGAGTCTAAGGAATCCTGACAGAGTACATACTGGCCTACGTTTGGAATGTGGACACAAAACATACGGATCCTCTGTACCATTCAGAAAAAGTCTTTCTACTTTTTTAAATGTAGAAAACCAGCACATCCTGCTTAAAAAGAAATGTTAGTAACTAATAAATTCCTAGAGCCCTGGTAATGCAGAGTTTTTTTGTAGTGTTGGGGGTTTTGTGTGTGCTACACTACTAACCTGCCCTTGCTTGAATTCTGACGGTTGCACTGGTCGCATTCATGGCCTTGTATGAATTGGTGTGATGTTTGTGGTTAGCTCTGGGGGCATAAAAATTGTACACCTAAGGTCGAGGGTGAATTACAGGCTAGTACAGGGAAGTTTTTGGTGTTGCTATAGCAGTGGTTAACTTCACGTGACGCTTCCAAGCATTTACACAACTTCTAAGTGTAAATAAGATTAGACAATACTTCCCTCATCCTCCCACAGTAAAAAAGATTCCTTAAAGATACATCTTCTGTGTCACCCAGTTAGTGTCTTCGATCAGTCAACATGCCTAATGACAAACTTCTGAAAGCATGCTGGGTCGTCTTGCTGCTCAAAAATCCTGACAAACAAGCCTCCCTGATTTCCTGTTTCAGTATCACATAGATAATTAAAGCCAAAGCAAAGACTAATTAAGTAATTAATTTGCTGTTTCTACACAAATAAATGTGTACTCCGGTGTAAACATTAATGAGACCGTGTCAGTGAGCTGTAAGAAATTTGTGGCATTCTGCAGCAGGAAATCCTAAAATAATTGGAAAGACTTGGTAAAAGGGTTAAAAAGTAACAAAGTAGTAAACTTGTGCTTTGAAAAACAAGTGCTTTCTTCTGTTAGAGCCGTCCAGATTTCCCTGCGCATCCCTGAAAGCTGTTGGTTCGGTGAAGGTCAGAGGTATTGTGGGTACACCAGCTGATCATCTGCGAGCCCGTGGGGCTGTGCTGCTGAGCATAACAAACTGCTGGGCACTGCTGACGTGCGTCATCCAACCCTGGGGTTTTGCACGGGGATTAGTCAGGCTCTATTTGGAAACGCCCTCAGCTGCACTTTGTGCTGCTATATTAGTGTTTCTCAAGCAAGAGGAATTTTCTTTTGCTTCTGCAGCTGCTTCTGCAAAACCCTCTGGTAAGTGTGCGTAGCTTCTCTCAACTACTGCCTGTCTTCTGCCTGCATTTTTAAGCCAGGGTTATGAGCTGAGGCATTTCTTACAGGTTTTTATTGTGACAAATTGTATTTTTTAAATATAAAAATTGATAGCACAGAATTGGCAACAGCATTGAAGGAATAAATATATTTACCAGTTTTTATGCAATAGGTTAATTCAGCTTAAATGTACCTCTACTTTTAAATAGTATGAGAGTAGCTTAAGTGGGGGTGTATTTTCAGAGTGACGTAGCTCTCTGCTGTACATGTCTGCTTCTATTTCTATACAGCAGGAAATACTATAGCAGACCAATTCTTACAAGGATTTGGTTGAGTTTTGTTGGCGGCCTCTATGCAAGCCCTGCGTCTTTGGACTCTGCTTGCCACCTATGCTGTTGCAGTAGGACAAAATCAAGGACAGAAGAATCAGGAGTGTCCTAAGCTCAACACACAGGTACTCTCCTTTAAAAGCACAAGAGGAAATGCTGTTGTCATGTTTTCTGCGAACGCTCTCTCTCCAGATTTTTGATACGGGGGTTTTTTTCCAAACAAAATATCAGAATCCTGTACATTAAGTGCAAAAAGACGTAAATAATTGGACAAAATAAAACAGGAAAAATTATTTTTAGTACACATCCTATTCCATTTCTTACAGTGGCTTAGGCCGCAAAGCCACTTCCAGTTATTTCGTATAACCTGTGCTGCCTATCTAGTTTTGCAGCGTCTTATCAAGCAGCTGTGAAGATACTCCATGTTTTGTTGTTTCATTTCCATAACAACATTTGCCTGTTTACTTTTTGGATAAGTAGTCCTGAGGCTGTTTCTTAGCAAAACTACCAAAAGAGTAATTTGGTAATTACTACTTACTAAGGATTTCTTACCATAGTTGAGTTTACATTGTATGAATATAAAACATATTATGGTTTGGGGTTTGGTAATTGTAAATTAAGGAATATGTGCCCTGAGCTCAGGTTTTACTAGCGGACTGCACGATCCTAACTAGCTCTACATAAAGGACTGACTGGTGTGACTACACTCACGTCCAGTAGCTTTTAATGTTCCTGTCTGAAAGATGAGCATACTAACAGCTGGAGCTGTTACGAGAAACCTCATGGGCTACAATTCAAATTGTCTGCATTAAAGCCAAAACTTGGCTTATACATGCATGAGCATAGGATCACATGTAGCTATATGTGAGTGTAAATAGATGGAGGAAAACACACACATTCCCATTCTGTGGTTTTTGTTCCCCTCCTTCTTGCAACTCACAAATTGCAAATAGCAGAAGTCACAAGAAGAAGCTTGCACACTTTTCAGAAGTTTTTTTGTTAAGTTTGCTTTTGTAGAGTAAGTAGATGAAAGTAATGTTCTGTAGTAATAGCCAAAGGAAGAAGGTAGTGGAAAATAAGATGTAAATTAAGGAATGTGCCCATTTTCTTTATAATTTCACCAAACTCTTGTTTTCTGCCACCAAGATCACTGAAACCAATTTTCTGTAGCTTGCCGGGGTGTCAGATTTCACAGCTATTGCTGATGCCGTACCCTGCCTTTTTTGGTGCACGTCTGGAAGTAAGTGTATGTGATGGCTAGTCTACGGCCTTGGAATTGAGCATTTGCAGTTCCCAAAATAAATGTCATTTATTCTTGGTTTATAGTCTTTTACCTGAGCCTATCACCATAGCCTAGAAATAAGTTTACAAATACTTGAATCCTGTCCATTCATAGAATCACGGAATGGTTTGGGTTGGAAGGGACCTTAAAGATCATCTAGTTCCAACCCCCCTGCCATGGGCAGGGACACCTTCCACTAGTCCATTCTATCACTTTGATTTGCATTTTCCTTGTTCAGAAATAACATTAATAGTTCCCTCTCCCAGCCAGCCCACCATGGTGTGTCCTCTATATGAAGAGGTAGGATTAGGTTTGGAACCCAGTTTAGTCTAAGGCAGGTTTACCAACACAGTAGAAGAAGAGAAATTGTGTGATAATTGAAATTCACATACTGTCAGTAGTATTACAGCTAGTTCTTATTTATTGTCCCAGGATTTTTATGACATTATGGTCATCTGACATTTAGTGGGATATTTTTAATATGTTTGTAAGTGCAAGAACAGTCATTATTATTATTCAGAATTACTGACACTTAACAAAGTACTCAAATCAATCATTGAGTATTATAGAGAAGTTCCCTTAAAATGTTTCCAACCATAATGCAGGGTGTTTTCCTAGCATACTAGATAGGCTTTGTAAAATAACAAAACTTTGTATTTGCCAAGTAGTGTAGGCTTACAGGGTATCAGTACACAAATACTTTGGCCCATTTTTTTATGTCCTTGGTCCAAGCATTCCTTAGCAGACTTACAGTGATAACCTCTTATACTTTTAGTTATTCCTAATCATATTTCAGGCCGTGTATCTGGATTTGATTGTGAAATGAGCTGTATTTCCACGTGGTTAAGATAGCAAGTCATCAGCTAATCCTTCCCAATTTAAAATTACAGATAGTGAAAACAACAGAAGGTCCCACAGTCGTCCCTTAGATGAAGTTTCTTCCCATGAGCGACTCTTCTATTGGACTTCTTTTTTTTTTAGTCATGGGGGCTTGTGTTGTGGTTTTATTGGGCAGGAAAGTAATTGCTCTATGTCCAGCTCTCAGTAAAGTTCAGCATAATCTTAATTCCAGAATATGACTTTATACCTTATGCACACAGCTATCCATTCCCTAGGGTACCTGGTTGGAAATGCCTTCCACGGCATCTGTGAATTCACTTACATACCTGCTGTTCATTTTAGTGATTACCACCAATACTTGTTTAATCATCCAACTAATACAGCAAGCACTTAGATATACACTGTCTCAAATACTAAGAAAGCAATATATAAGCAGCACCCAGATAGAACATAAAGGCAGCTCTGTTGGCACTCTTGCTATCCAATCATGTATGAAGAACTTTATTTCAAAACTAGAATTCAGTAGGTTGTTTCAAGTAAATACCTCTTTATTTAGCCCAGCTACACAGATGCATGTCTCATGTACTAAATAGACTTGTAATTTTCAGAACTATCCTTGTTGTAAACAATCCATTCTGTGGTTTGTAGGACTGGGGGATTTCCAAACCTGTGTGAATCCATTACTGTCCATTCGTCAAGGTATGACTATAACATTGTTAGCTACAAAAGAATTTCCTGCATCCTACAAGCAGATCCTTTTCTATCCTTTTCATAAATCGAAATAAGATCAACCTTTAAAATCATCTTTCTTAGGTTTTTTCTCCTTGCTTCTCTTTGAAGGCTCCCTTAAAAATGTCGGAGACTAGAAACTTACATGTATTTGTGGCCAGTGCATGTGTCGACCGCACATGGCCTTCGGGAGCTGTCATCTTTTAATAGGTGTTTCCAGAGATACCAGCCCCTGGGCTGTTTCAGTAGCACAGAGCTGCCCTCGGTAAGAAAGCAAAACTTGGGTCACACATTTATAAAATGGCAGAATAGAGGCACTTAAGTGAATCAGTATGATGTACTCTCAGATGTCACAATGACATAAATTCCTTTTCCTGTGCCTACGTAGTTTTAGTCCTGTATTTAGAAGCACCTTGCTCTGAAAAGCTTTCATGCCTTTTTTACTTGCTGTGGAGTATTTTATTCGGCTGTTTCTCTGTGTGTTCTTCCCAGTCAACCGCCGCGTCAGAAATTTGGGGGTTTTTTGTATACTTAGTTGACTCAGAGCCCTCTTAAACAATTAACAGGCACAACGATTTTATCAAATTGACTAAACTTTTCTCATTAGCATTCTTTCGCTCTCTGTTCTTTCATCACAGTTCTTTCCAACTTGAATCTGCTTGTCTCTTTCAACTCTGAAGAATGGCAAATATGCAACAAAAAAACAACAGCTAGACGGGGCAGAAGTGTAAGACATTGAAGGAGATAGTTCATCAGAAACTGGTGACTGCTTATTAGACAGTTTTGTTTACTTCTAATATAACAAAACAGCCTAAATACAAGAATTGCTACTTAGTGTTCAGCTGCAAATACGAACACGAGGAGGGACAGTGACTGTTTTGTCTGGGTCTATATCAGATTCCATATCCATAATGAAGACTTGGGTTTGCCTATGAAAAGTGCCCGTAAGACTGAAATTGTCTGGGTCATGCAAGCTGCAAAACAGTATTTTTTCCCCTCCAAAATTAAAATACTTTTCAACTGACTTCGATTCTTGTGCAAAAATGAAAGACCTATTACAAATAAATGAAACTTAAAAACCAATCTTGAGTAGGAGTATCAGTTTACAACACCAAAGCAGGAAGCTTTCATCATACTCAAAATCTTAAGCAATGTCTGCTTTAACATCGTCCACTGGAGTGTTTACTAAGGAGGTTTTTCCTCAGGTTGTTTCAAATATTTACAAAAGGCCTCAGTCTGAAATGAAACAGTAGTAAGCAATCCAGCTTTCCTCATACAGTCTCCCCCTCTGATCCCTCCATCTCCCCCACCATCTGTGCTGTTTAAATCAGTTATATAAGGATGTCTGTCGCTTAGTACCTTAAGTAAACCAAGAATGTTTGAACTGCTTCTTACAAAGCGTCGCATTTAGATGTCACTTTCAGTTTTGCATTCCAAGTCCAAAAATACACACATGATTTGTCTCCTGAAAGTCAGAGGAATTAGATGAGTTTACAGTGAAAAAATTACAACTGGTGTAAAACTGCTTTATCTTTCATTATAAAGAAAAAAAATGCTGCATACCCACCAAACAAATGCTAAGGTTACTTTTTTTTACCAGTATTGTATAACATAGAAAAGAAATACCCTAAAACCCCTTTAAAGAGTTGCAGACTGTTAATATTTTATTTTGTGAAGCTAGTTCAGTGGACATACTTCTGCTGATAATTGGGAATAAATATTTATAACTGCTTTATAGACGTATTTCTCAAAAGATTAGGGAATTCTTTCATGGATATTTTTCAGGATTTTTCTTGTAAACACACACACGCTTTCTCACTGATTCCAAGTTTGGAACATAGCTGTCAGTTGGAAACCAATCCTAAGGTATCTTTTTTGAATTTGCTGTGCTAAGAAAAGTAACAAGGCTCTGCAGCCCCACAGAGAACGACTGTCTTGGTTTAGGGGGTACCATTTTTACAGAAGAGGTCTTTGCCATAGGGTGGGCAAAGGAAAACCTTAACTCTTACAGAGTGAAATGAATCCTTGTTTTTCTTTATGAGACCTATAAAGCAAAGAAATAGTAAATGCCCTGTAATTACTTAAGAATTTTTGGCAAGATACTCTGGTATAGTTGAAGCTTTTTTTGGATGGGTGGAAAACCGTGGAAAATTATCAAAGACTCGTGATTAGGGCTTTAGAAGGATTTCCCTTTTCTGTTTTCATTACTGTCTTTGAGGATTTCAGCCATAAGGTAGCAGTAAGCATACTGGGGATCAGAATTACTGGTTATATTGAAAAATAGGAGCACTGATAGGGAGGAAAAGATACAATCCAGCAAGACTAAATGTAAAATCTAGCACTTTGTGCAACTACCTGTTTCTGCCTAGGCGCAATTTTGAAGAGTATTTGGTTGTTACCAAGCTAATTTGAATCACTGCTGCTACCAACGCAAGTGCATTCAAATGTATGCAAAAAGATACTATCTGCAGGCGTGGGGCAGAGTAGCCCTTCAGCTGAGGCCTGAAGAGAGCAGAGCAGAAAGGTGATACCCACAGTTCTGGATGCTGTGTTTCCAGAATGATAGGGTTCAGATGGATGGGCCAGGGCAACATGAAGCATTGCCAGAGGGTTAGAAAACTGCTCTGCTTAAGAGGAATTAAAGAAATTCGGGTTCATTAGTTCAAGAAGAAGGGAAAAATAGGCATAAGCACGTGTGAAAAACAATTCATTTCCTCCAAGTTGAATGACCTAAAATGACAGTAAGGAAGGTTAAATAGAGATTAAGCAAACTTTTGTGAACATATAGTTAGGCACTAAAATACATGGGTGAGGAAAGCGAGGAATGTGTGAGTGGAGGTTCTAAGAATGGGTTAGACAAGTGCCTGCTGAGGATGATGTAGCTGGAACGCTTTGCTTCTACCTCAGGGCAAAGTAGAACCAATATTTACAGATGACATCCAGTTCCTTCTCCCTGACACACAAGTGTCTTTTCCGTTACAAATGCACGTGTTTGCAAGACTTTAAAGTGTCATCTTTTTCTTGAGTGGTAACTTAATTGCAATTTGACTTCAAGTTGGTTGTTACTAATAAACAAAAGGCTGCTTTTTTTTTTTCATTAGGTCACAAAGATTACATGCTAGGTGTAAGAGAAGGAAAGCTGAATGATCAGAATGCGAAAAACGTGATTCCTAGCACTTCATCATCTCTGACATTCTGTACACAGAAAGTAAAATTTACGACTCAGAAATGTCCGTGTAGACAGACTGCAAATATCTGGTGCCTTTACTTTAGAAAGAGTCCATCCATACATGATTATAGAGGAAGGAAGTACATACTAAATTTTGAAATAAGTAGTTCTTTTACCATTTCTACAAGGTTAAAGAGAAACTTTTAGAGTAAGCAAAGGTTTGGAGGGGAGGGTGTTCTTTGGAGAGATATGTGGGGGGGTGGTTTTTCTTCTTTTTTACCAAATTCAGCATTTATCCTGGTATTCAAGAAATACTTTTCATGCAAAAGGAGTATGTGGTGTGATAGCATGTGTTATTTCAAAAGTGTGCAGTAAAATAAGTAATGGCTGGCTAGGGAGCAGGAATTGCTATACGGCCTTGTTGTACTGGAGTACTTGGTTGACACATGCAGCAGTCTCAACAAAACAACAGGTGTTTAAAATCAGCCTGACTTCTTTATCTATGTTCAAACTGTAAGGGCATATTAAGTGCACCAAGAGCTATTTTTAAGGCTCAACATCTCCCAGTCACCATCACCCTGAACCCCAAGGCGATCCCATACGTCCCGTTTCTATGCATTTCTCTTACTTCCTACAAATATAATTATCTTTTCTATGAGTGACAGCTTATTGTATAATTGGCTACCAAGAAAAGAAATGAAAACAGGTATTGAAAGCAAACAGAACTGTATGCAGTCATCAGTTAATACATCCAGGGTATTTATTTCCTGTTGCTTCTTACTCTTAACTTGCCTTCCTGCCACGAGCATGGCTTGATGTCACGTGAAACTGTTTGTAGACGCAGAGCTTCCAACCTGACGGCTAGCAGGTATTGCCTTGTACGGTTTTTTCCGTAAGTATACTTCTGTCTTTGTTCTTCCTCTTCATAGATGCCGGAATTTCAGAAGAAGACTGTCCATATTAAGAACCCAGGGAGAGTAGAAGAGATTATCTGTGGCCTGATCAAAGGTGGAGCTGCCAAACTTCAGGTAAAGATAGTAGGTGGTGTAAGCAGTTTGGAATGAAAGCAGTCATGTGATTCTTGCTCTATGCCAAAAGAAGTGTCAGAGTATATATATATAGATAGATAGATATATAACAGAAGTCAACCTTCGAGAAATCTCCAAAACTTAGACATTTGTTAATCTTTTCGTAGCCCTCAGTGATTCAACTGTAATTCAGCCAGACACTAGTTAAGTAAATTATATAAACATATAAGCTTAGTAATTTCAGGAAATATTCTGACCAAAGGAATTATAAAAACAGGTTTCTTACAAAAAAAGGTTATTCTTACAGGATATTCTGGATTACATTGCAATAATTCAATAAAGTAGGAAGATTTCTGTGGCACGTATGGTATTCATCTGCAACTATTGCTGATCATTCAGAATTTCTAGCCATTCTTTATTTTGTCCCACCGTGTTGTAAGACAGTTTTGCTTTTTCTTTCCTTAAATAGATTATTACAGATTTTGATATGACATTAAGTAGATTTTCCTACAATGGAAAAAGATGTCCAACTTGTCATAGTGAGTACTTTTTGGGTTTTTTTTTTACTATGGATTGGTTTGTTCACTCCTTTTGGTTTTTCCTAGATTTTAATTTTCTATCCAATTTATTCCCTAATACGTGAGATTTTGTATTGACTTAGTTACCTAACCTGTACATCCTACTGAAGAAGCATTCAGTGCCGTGGTCTGTATGTGGGTTTATGTATATACATTTTAATCACAATCTGTGTGAATTAAAATCAGATAAATTGTCGTTCACAACTTAAACATTAAGTTTGAACTATAGGGTGTTAGTGGCTAGATATGGTAGGGTTGACTTTTAAGAGCCCGTAATAGTCTCGATGCTTGCAAGAACCAGATAGGAAGCTCCTCAGAATTCTTGACGTTTTATTCCCGTAGCCTTTTAGAACAAACAAAGGGAATCCGTTTATTAATGGAGTGGGAATCCTAAAACACCTAGGATGCCCCATGATGATTTCAGAAGCAGTTATATCTCAAGAAGCAGATAAGAGAGCTTGTAGCTGAACTTTTTAATTCAGAGGTGAAGGGAAAGACAGTAATACGTCTTCATGCTGATGAAGAAATGTGTGCCTTTTACTGGTTGCTGATCAGAAAAGTTCTGGGGAACCACAGTGGTGTGTCAGACATTGTCCTCTGCCATTTACAGCATTGTAGAGCAAAGTCAAAGAAATGCACCCTCTCGTTTAACACTTTTTTTTTTCACCCTCCCAGACATCATAGATAACTCCAAGCTCATCACAGAAGACTGTCGGAAAAAGGTGAGCAGAAGACCTACCAGCTGTTGGTTTGTTGTGCGAGCAACTGTTGTTATTCCTGGGCTGTGCTGCCTGTTGACTTACGCAGTGCGACAAGACAAGGGATACCTTCCAATCCTTGAAGCTCTCCGAGAGTTCTCAGAGACTGCAAGGCATCCCGTCACCAGAAGTGAAGTCCTAGGAGCGCTTGGCTCAGCTTCACAGCATCCGCCTTCTCCTCCCAGATGTATTTACAAGCTAAGGCTTTGCTCAAAGAGCTTCCCAGATTCCGTTTTATCTAAATACTGTAATCGGCATGAAGCAAGTTCTTGTGAGTGGTTAGTTCAAATACCAAATGTCATTTTGTAAAAATAAATGAAACATCTGCTGGTTTTTTCCCTTCAGTTACTGCAGCTGAAAGAAACCTACTACGCTATTGAGATCGATCCAGCCCTCACGACTGACGAAAAATACCCATATATGGTGGAATGGTAAGAGACGCCTCCCATCTTCACACGGTACTAATGTTAGACTTAGTAAGGTTTTTAGAAGCAAATTAATGGCAGTAATCAGCTTCCAGCTAACACATTGACTGAATTAATCTGAGTGTTGTGCAACGACGGGTTTTGCTTTGCCGTTAACTGGAAAGATCAAGAACTAACCATAGGGGATGCTCTTCAGCATCAGATTTAAGGAAAGGTGAACCTTAATAAGTCATGCCCCATCCCTGGATGTCTGCAAGGCCAGGCTGGATGTGGCTTTGAGCAACCTGGTCTAGTGCAAGGTGTCCCTGCCCATGGCAGGGGGGTTGGAACTAGATGATCTTTAAGGTCCCTTCCAACCCAAACCATTCTGTGATTCTATGATTTCCAACCCATAGAATGTTTACATTCTAGGTACAACAAATCTCACGCCCTACTCATTGAACAAGGCTTACAGAAGGATAAGTTTGCAGAAATTGTGAGGGAATCTGACGTTATGCTGAAGTAAGTTCCTTTTGGTTTGAACAGTATTGTTTCAGAGCATTTTCTGTAGATGCTTACTGTGTGTTTTGAGGAAAGAAACCAACACACACATTCCTGAGAATGTGACACCGTAATCTGGGAACACAGTGGGCTCTGCACGCCCCTGCTTTATTCATATTTTGTAGCTAACTGCTTACAATGCTTACAGTGTGTACACGAGAGATCTTGGGAAAAAACCTCCTTAAAACCTTCAGTCCCATCTCTACAGACTTCGCTTCTGTAGGCTTTCATCCTCTGGAAAGTGCACTGCTGGCTCTTTTTTGTGTAAGGGGAATGGAGAGTTCAACTTTGTTCCTTTCAGTTCCCTAGAACAGTTTTATCTGAGAGAAAAATGCTGTGACTCGAGGAATATGTTTCATGTATTGTATTAAATATTGTTCTTCCTTCGGGGTGAAAGGCAAGTTTAAAAGGCAGCAAAATCCTTGCTTGGAATGTGCTGTGGCTCCCATCTCTTTTAAAGTCCTCCAAAATTGTCAGTAAATTTTGGGCTACAGAATCAAGCTGTTAAGACTTAATTTGTAGAAATCCATGCTTACACTGACTAAATTCTTGTCTTCTGCAAAACAAAGGGGCACACTGTCTCTGTCTGTTTGAAATCTAAGTCCCTGTTGATAGAATCTTCATTCACAGGCTGAAATCCTCTCCAAAATTTTCATCATGATCCTTTTTTTCTTAAATGTAAAATTCCACCAAACAATGTCTGTGTGGAGAAGGTACGTAGAGATAGTATCATCTTGTTCCTGGAATAGCATACCTAGTTTTGATTGGGTACTGAAAAGCATTCAGGAAAGAAAAACGTTTTCGGGATTTCAAAACAAAACATTTGTTTTATGGTAACACTACTTTTCTAGGAAGTCAAATATTTAAGCAAAGGTTATTGAAAGGAAATGTACAGCCTGACAGGGTCGAGAGACTTCTGCTAGTTGCTTGCTTTTTCTGGAGTGGAATCTGGTTTTTAAGTCTTTAAAACATGATTAGATGTTGGGGGTGGGGCAGAATTATGCACAGAAACAGCTTTTGCCTGGTGCTGGGCTGACGTTTTCTGCTAACCTGAAAAGGTGAGGCAAAGGAAATAAAACGCTCAGGGAAAATAATTGTATTTCCCAAAGATTATGTGAATGTTTTCCAAAAACTCTGACTTCTCCTGGCTTGCTTGATCTGAGATTTTCTTTGTATTTACACCCTGTGTTACAGAGAAGGATACGAGAACTTCTTCGATAAGCTCAGTGAACACAATATTCCTGTGTTCATATTTTCTGCTGGGATTGGGGACATCCTTGAAGAAGTTATCCACCAGGCCGGGGTCTACCACTCTAATGTCAAAGTGGTTTCCAATTTCATGGATTTTGATGAAAATGTATGTATGAAATATGAAATGACACATTCTTACCCAAGATGACTGTTGGTGGTATTCAGTAGCTATTTATATATACTACAAGATTAACATTTTAATGCAACAGATGTAGCCACCTACCCTGCCAAATAGAAAATTGGAATTGCGTACTCGGCCCTCACCCAGGCAAGAAGCAAGCAGAGGACAATTCCAACACTTTAGTGTGGTGTGACTAAGAAACCATAGAATCACAGAATGGTTTGGGTTGGAAGGGACCTTAAAGACCATCCAGTTCCAACCCCCCTGCCATGGGCAGGGACACCTTCCACTAGACCAGGTTGCTCAACGCCTCATCCAGCCTGGCCTTGAACACTTCCAGGGATGTCTTTCAACCATTTGTTTCCTTCAGTGACCACCTCCTGCTCAGCCCAGTGCAGCGCTCCTCCTCCTCCGAGCAGGGGCAATCGTGGGCTGGCTGTCACGGTCACTGCGTTACTCAAGAGTAATGTATCGTGTCCATCATTAGAGATTACGTACTCCAGCGTTCCTTCGAGAGCAACCCCACCTATTTTATTCCAGTTCCTGTCTTCTCTGTAGGATACCAGAAATAACTTCAGGGTTTTTTTTTTCAATAGGGAATATTAAAAGGATTTAAAGGAGAGTTAATTCATGTTTACAACAAACATGATGGTGCCTTGAAGAACACAGAGTACTTCAAACAGCTAAAAGACAACAGTAATATCATTCTGCTGGGCGACTCCCAAGGAGACTTGAGTATGGCAGATGGAGTAGCAAATGTTGAACACATCCTTAAGATCGGCTATCTCAATGATAAGGCAAGTAGCCCCGTACCTTCTCAGCTGTGAGTGAAAACAGGGCCGCTGTAACAGGCTTAGTAAGACAGCAAACCACGTCTTGGGTCCGTATTTGTTTGGAGATTGCCAGAAGTTTTCATGGATTTCTTGCCTTGAGCTTTTTTTCTAACCCAGAAGCTACAAAACCACAAATGGAAGTTGCACTGGGTTTTGTACTGAACTACTCCAAAAAAGATATTTTGCTGAGGAGTAAAATTCAGAGGCTAGAGAAATTAATTCTCTTAAATTCTTGTGGCTACTCCCCCTCCCTTCAAGTCCGGACAGATAATCAAGCAAAATTATAATCTTCCAAATAACCAAGTTTAGGCAGTGTCTCATCTTTTGGTTTTTAAGGAGACAGGGAAGTGATTGTTTGCCAAGTTATAATGCACATCCATTTACGTTCCGGAGAGAGAAAACTTCAGTTTTCTGTTTCTCTCTGCCTTTTGGGAAGCTGAGCGAGTGGCTTTTCTTTCAGTATTTCTCGTGTCAGATCCTGGAACAAACATGAGGTATTAGATCCTGGAATGGCCACAGAGTTCTGTCCGGCTGCTCCTACCCTGTCATCCATGGAATTCACTCCTAAAAGTGATTCCGATTTGCGTGGCTCATTCCCTGAATTTAGGCAGTTTTTTAATGACAAGAAGTCTTTCAGTAATTAATTCTAAAGCTAAGTGGGTCTTTCTCTTTATCTCTTTTGCAATTAGGTAGATGAGCTTTTGGAAAAATACATGGACTCGTACGATATTGTCTTGGTGAAAGATGAATCCCTGGAAGTCGCCAACTCCATCCTACAGAAAATCCTGTAAATTGCAGTCTGAAGTCACTCCATTCGTTCCAGGAGCCAACTGGACAGAAGAGCACACATGTGCTGCCTTAGATGTGTTTGTTACTCATTGATGAACTGTTTAATTTAAGACTTTTATCTTCATTTTAGCATTTCGAAATATCTAGGGTATCCACTGTTAACTAGAAGCTCCTTTTACTACTGTCTCACACTCCCGCGGTAACGAGATTCAAACGGGGTTTGTGGCTGCGGCGAACTGCTGCTGCTGGGATGCTCTGCTACGCTGGTTTCGTTAGGCGTTTCAGAGGAGCATTTTAGGAAAAATGTGGCTGTTTTGTAAAACTGAAGATGGAAACTTCCTGTGAATGAGCAGCGTGCGACGGCGCTGCCTTTTCTTCCTCCCAGGGCAGCGTCCCAGCCTGAGCAGTACTCTGAAGGACCGTGCTCATCTGCTACAGCCTTTCACAGAAGCTGTTCAGACATAGGGGTTTTTTTCAGTAAAAATGCATTATTCACCCAATTCAGGCAAAGTGTCTCTTCTTCATAGATTTTCCTATCGTTAGAAAATATTCTGTGTCCTTCCTCTATCCTCTGTGGAACGGGAAGAATGTTTTCAGTTAGTAGCTCTGAGGTGAAGCTTCTCATCTTTGCAACAGCAAATAGTTTCACAGGCCACCAGGGCACAGCCCCTTTTCACATCTGATTTTGGTGCTGCTCCACTTCCGGCCTGCTGTTACGGCTCGTCTAAAAGCACTTCCCGTGGAATCCTCAGCATGCTGCCCCTGGGCACAGGAGACCAAGCTAGGATTTTCATCCTGGGTTGTAACAGCTGACTTTTAGCCACCTTGCAAAATCAAGTTTCCCCACTCCCAGCCCCACGCCTCAGAAGTGCTTCCGGAACAGCATCTAGCTCTCCGGGCTCTGTTACGCACGTCCCCTCTGCCTGAACACCTACTGAATCTTCCGGAAGCGCGTTCCCTGCCTGCAACACGTCGCAGTACCCGGCAGCGTCGGGGACAGAACAGTACAGCCGAACGCAGCCGCGGCTTTGGAAGCGTACTCTGGGGCGCCGCAGGGGAAGCTGAAGGTGGCGGGGTGACCCCTGCGAGGCCTGAGCTGTACGCCCGGTGCCTTAATAAAGCGGGGGTGATGGTACCACCTCCCTGACACACAGTGCGGTGGTTGTTCCCCACTGCTTTCTCTCAGACACAGCAGGAACCGTGCCATCTCCCATGCCCTGAGGAATTGCAGTGAAATGCGGGAGAGCCTCAGTCTGCGTTCTCGCCCACCGGCAAGCACTGCACATCTCGAGAAGTGTCCTCTTTCCCCTCCGACCTCATCAAAATTCTGACACCAGTCGTGTTTCCTTCCCGACTTCCAGCTGTCACTTTCCCAGGAAGGCAACACGGGGGGTCGTTCCCTTACCCCCCCTCTGCAGTAAACCCGTACCCGTATGTGGAATGCACAGCAGGGGCTGGGCGCGCAATCCCAGCATCCTTTCAGAGTGACCTTGCCAGGGGAGTGCCGGCAGGGAACTGCTGAGCATGGGGACCCCTCAGGGCCTCCAGCCTGCATCTTAACCGCAAAGACGTCTGAGGGATGGTGCCCTTGGATACAACCCGCACTTCTGGCACGGGAGCAGCTCAATCACGCAGAGCGGGAGCCTTAGCGCCATCCGTTTGAGCGGAAAACCGCTTAAACCGTGAGAGGATGGAGGAGAGGACGGCATCT